TTTTACTTTGGCGCGAAAAAAAAAATTACTTGGACACAGATGAATTCATTACAGAGACATCCTGTTTCATGTGACCACACATTTCTGCAGAGGAATAAGGGATTAGTCATCAATTGATGTGTGGTTCACAATCTACTGCACAAAGAATACTCTTGAATGTTAATTTGTCACATACATAACCACAGTACTTCTGTTTTCTTAGAGTAGGATCTTTTATAAATAGAGTTTAATTGTGACTAAATTAGATGCCTTGTTTGTTATCGTTTGAAAGGATTTTTTTTTTTTTTTACATTTTTAGCTTTTACAACTATTTCAAAGCAATAACAGCATGCGCCATGATCCTGCTGCTTATTCACACAGACTCGGAGGGTTTGTCATTTTAGGAAATGCATCAACTTGTTTGTGCCAAGAATAATAGGATAAACATTACCATACATGTCTTCAACTTCAAATATGAAGCTAGAGCCAACAGGGGGTTAGCTAACATTAGCATAAAGACTAGAAGCAGGCACAGGAGTTCAAAAAGCCCCAAGAACAAATTTTGTATTTTATTAACAATGTATCTTGTTTTTTTAATCCATGAAAATAAAAAGTAAAAAGGATACATTTTGGTAATACAGGAAGTTAGCCTATGTGCTGTACAGAAATACTGGAATCCCCCTCATTCCTCGACTTGTTTGTTGTTAAACTTTTGGACAGAAACTAGACATGACCTTTTGATCAGTAAAGTTAAGGGTGGTTTTCAAACATTGGAGAAAAGGTAGTCATTTTAGCCTTAATGCTAATGTAAGGTAAAGGCTTGGTAACTTTGTAAAAGTAGCAGGCTACCGATATTTAACTCTCACCCTTGTCAAGACAGCTAATAAGCTTATCAGCATTTGTCACACATCCACAATGTACTGCAGATCAATAATTCATTACAGATAACAGATATTGGGGTTTGTAAATGAATCAATGTGTCATTCTCAAGGCAGCTCACCAACTGAGTCACAGGCAAGCACAGGATGCGAAACAGCCTCGGTCGCTTCCATTGTTGTTGCTCCCATTTAAATGTGTGGTGCATGTAAGGGTCCCAGTTTTGGAGGTTAAAATCACGGTCACCCCATTGAAAGGTCAAGATTTTTTGAACTACCTATTTGATCATACCTGTTCTTAACCCAAACAGTGCCGCCATCCTTCCAATAGTCTGTCCATTAACATGAGGCCTGAACTTGCCACAGAGTGCCAGTGTGAAAGGCTCTGTCACCACAGAGGCTGTAACTGAAGTCTTCCAACAACTCTGCCCACCACACACTGAACCCTCACATTTTAAACAGCCCCGTGGGGCAATGAAAATGTATGTTCATCCCACAGAACCCAAACTCCTGCACAGTCAGAGGTTGGAACAGAAAAGGTGACATCCTTGGCTCTGGTGAGGGGACCACACTCAGGTCTGTACAACATCGAATACCTGACTACCAACAGACTGGGGATGGTCGATTGCTGCTGCAGTGTGGTCCTCTGAGAACCGCTGCAGGTTAAAGTGAAAGCCCTTTTTGTAAACGTGTTAAGCTTCTCTGTCTATGACTTACACCACCAAAATGGCACAGAGGCTCGGAAGATTTATGGAAGAATTGCTGGCTGTACGGATGTTTGCTGAAAGACATCTGCAGTTGGGGGAGAGTCCGTGAGAGTGACTCATTAGCCCTCAAAAGATCAGTTGGTGTCAACCAGCAAATCAACAGACAGGATGTGGAGCTGTTTTCTTTGAAAATAAGCACCATGACTAACTTGGCCCCATCCAGGACAGTTCAACAACCCCATAACTAAGTCGGCTCCTAAGTGCCCTTTTGATTTAAAGCTTAACAGACACTTGTTTAAGATGGGTGATCATTTGCAGAGATCTGGGGAGACTCACTGAGCTGCAGACAGCTACAGTTTAAACCTACAGTGGAGAGATATTTCATTTAGCTATAAGACAAAAGCGAGTGCTGGGATTGTGAAAATGAGATTTATTTTAATGAGTTCCTTTTCGTGGCAGAAAGAGGTCAACTAGCTTACTCACCGATTGAATCCCAAAGATAACAAACAAAGGAAAATTGGAGCCATTCAAAGTGTGCCTCCTGAATTTTTTTCCCAGATATTTAGTCTGTTAAATACATCTATTAGTAGCCAAAGACTCAGATGGTTTTCATTGTTCTTGTGGCTGGCATGGAAAGCTTGTTTGTTCTGGACTCAAACCTTGAAACCCCTTATCATATGGATCTGAAGACGTATGACCTCAGAACAGTGAAGAGTCAGCATTAGTCACTGAACCAGAGGTCCCACTAACCGTCTACAGTATGACTATTAACTGTATTTATTCTGGATATACGGTTTCACTTATTGTGATAAATGAGTCACGGAGGTCTGACTCTGTTTAAGGCTTCATGACCGCCTGGGGGGACAGAGCCGAAGGAGTGATTGCCCTGACTACTCCGCTGTTTTTACACCATAGTTAAAACAGTGAAAATCAGAAAGGCCTCCCAGTCTAAACCTGCTCAAGAGAGGCAGGAGCCAAAGAGCCACCAAGGACAACAGAAAGAACCACAAAAATGTTTAATATCCAGTTCAGTGGAAAATTAAAAGCATTTTTTTTAGCATAACCACCAAGTCTCCCCTTTAACTCATAAAGCTCTCTTTTAGAAAAAGTGCAATTAAGATACAGTCCTCCTCTCGGTTGTGTAAATATCATGACTTTACATTGAAAGTGTTAATTTGTCAGTTCAAGAGGTGTTTTTCAAACTTTGAGCAGAATAAAGTTAGCTGTAGAACCGGTTTTTAGCCTTTTAGCTAACGTAAGCTTCATATTGTAGTTTTCAGTTCAGTTTTCTCATAGACTGTAATATTAATGGACAGAGTCTGTGTGATGTCACCCTCTCTGAAGGGCTGTTTGGGAAGCCGATCCATAGCGGTTGCCATATTGGAAATTTGAATCTATAAAACATTTGGTCAACCTTACAACAGGCAAAGAGCTGGAGCTAAGGCTGGCCTTGAGCCTCTAACTGCTACAGAAGCTTACAGTCAAGACTGTCACGCCCCTAATTGTGGATAACTTGTACCCTTTATAAAATCAAAACAGGTGAGTTTAAAAATCCTCCCCCATACAGTGTGTGCTGATAAAGACATGAATCATTCAGACCAAAATCATTTATTTTGCCAAGTTGAAACATGTTAATTTCTGCTGTCAAACATACATTTTAATATGGGACGACCGGGTCATTTGGAGCCAGCCTCAAGTGGACACTCAAGGAACTGCAGTTTTTTGCACCTCCACTTTGTTCCTCTTTATCTCTTACAGGTTGCCTTTTGGTGTTTATACAGACAGTTTTGTGATGTAAAGAGGAAATTGTTGTTGGATATTAGTTGTTTCAAACATTAGGCATAGCAGGGCTAGCTGTTTTGTTTCCCTCTTTAAACTAATAAGCTAGCTGCCTGTTGGCTCTGTAAAATAAGCGTACATGAGATTGGCATCATATTTGATCTATTCATGCCACTTTCAGCATAACAAAACAGCACTAACAATTCAAATACCATCAGTGGAAGGACTCCAGATCTTAATATAAGGTTAAGACTGTTTGATTTTTTTTTTAGAGCGATATTTAGGACAAGATGCTTCAAGCTAAACAGAGCGAACACCAAAGAATAGATAAAGGTCGAGCCCTGCTGTACCTTTAAACCACAGAACAGGAAAAATGCTGCCTGAACTCTTCATATAGTCCTAGTTCACATGTTGCACTAAAGTAACTGCAGATGTGAGTGACTTGTCAATGAAGCAGGAATTTCAGTGGTTAAAATGGGACGTGATTATTTTTTTTGTTTTAATGACAGCTTTCTCCAATTTTGCCAAAACAACTCAGATCCTGGCAGCTGGTTTTCTGTTGGAAGAAGGTCTGGATCATTAAAACTGGGATTTCTGAAGTGGAGAGAAAGTAAATCCCCTTTACGTCAGCTTTTTAGTGAATAAGTTGGGAGCTCAATAGAAATGACCATCTAAGATAAATTCCTGGAGCCTTAAAGTGGGAAGAAGTGGGATTTCTTTGTTACAAATCTATTGTTTGTTTCTTGGCCAAAATTCTTGCCATTGACTTACATATCCATGGATGGTACAGCCAGGTTTTATGAGTTCAGGCTGCAGTGAGATCACAGCATAATACCAGCTCTAATTTTATTTTGGGAATAAACAAGACGAGTTTTGAAAAGTAGGCCTAATAAGCAACACATCTGTGAATTTAACATTGAACTCACATGAACTCACATGTTGACTCAAAAGGAACTTGTTAATTTGTTAATTTTTTGGTATTAAATGGCTATTAGAATGTGTGTTGACATTTTTATAAAGCATGACAAACCTCCAATGGTTTATATCCTATTTTAACTTAGCACCATGTTGGTGGTCTGGGCTTTGCAGATCTTACTTTAGCCTACCACCTACTGGTGGGAAGTTTTACTACTACACAGTGGAAGATATCAGGACAGACAGGACAGGACAGTATTTTTTTTTTTCCACTTTTATACACATATCGATAAATTTGCTCTAATGTAGGCTACATAAAGAAAAGAAGACCACATTATTTATCATATTCTACATATTTAAAGAGATATAGCCTACAGTCCAACTAAGATGAAAACACACGTTTGGGAAGACATTAACATCTATCTTAAAAGCATTTGTGTTACGTTTTTTTTACAAAGATTTGTGTTACAGTCTGTGATTCAAATGTACATTTTCTTACATTTGTTTGTAGTCTTTTACATCAGCTAATGTTATTCATCTTTTTCTTCTAAATGTTATCTAATCAAGCGAGGATTATTAACGTATTGTTCGGAAGAATTAAATAATGTACTTCTCGTGTTATTGGCATTTATTTAAACGTGTCTAGGCTATTTATTATTCGTCGATAAAAACCTGTTTGCTTCAATAAAGTTTATTGACAAAACGAGGGAAAAAAAACAAAAAAACTCCATGTCGCCGGTGATGACGTCCCAGTAGTCCCAGTTATGAACGCAATGGCTGCTAATGCTAGCGAGCTTGAGGTTGCAAAGAAAAACTTGACTGATGCAATCGGTGATAATGTCAAGCAGTAAGTTAATTGATAAAAGCTGGCATGCTCTTTTGTTTGTTTTGGTTTATTTGTCTTATTTCTTGGTGTGACGCGGGAATGTTAAAGCCTTGTTGGTCCACTAGCTCGCAATGCAAACTAGCAGCTCGCGATCACTGCGCACAATGTAACAATGTATCAACAATGTAACAACAATGTAACAACAATGTATCAACAATGTAACAACAATGTATCAACAAGTCAGTGTTTTTACAATTATTCCGCCTTGATATGTGTCTCTCTCTCTGTTGCACCTCCGAGTTTAAACATCTTCAGACCAAAAGTGATGAATGTTTTAGTCAATAACAAACATTGTGTATCTAATACAACCATGTTGTTTTCCCTCTGTGTCTGTGGTCTCTCCATGCAGTTACTGGGCTAACTTAAAGCTCTGGTTCAAACAGAAGATCAGTAAGGAGGAGTTTGACGTTGAGGCACGTCGTCTGTTGGCGCAGGATAATGGTTAGTATCAAAACAAAGTCACACTTTTTTACTCTTATTTTCTGTGTCCACATCTATATATGCACATGTGTGGTGATAGGGATAGTTACTTCAACTTCCTTTATTTTCATTCACCTATTTTTTTTTCATCTCTATTTATTTTGTTCACCCCTTGCACTCATCATCACATCTGTAAACTTTTCCTCAATCAACCATACACCATCAAAAAATCTATAAACATTAACTCCCAACAGGAAACCTTTTTTTCTTGTTTGTTTGCATGTCACTCGATTTGTCATTCTATTTCACCGATTCAAAACTAACATTGTTCATTTTGAATTGTGGCCATCTGAAAAAAGTGTTGCTTATTTTTTTATTTCCCTCCCTCTTTCTCTACAGTCCATGTTCACAATGATTTCCTGCTGGCCATTCTCACACGCTGCCAGATCATTGTCTCCACACCAGGTATGTTTCGATTCAATTCTTTGTATACTCTGTTTATTAGATGTGGGGAAAAAAATCGATTTATGTAAAAAAAAAATCTAGTTTCTTCTCTTCTAAGATTTGAAATCGATTCATAACTTCAAAAAAATCGATTTATATATAATTTTAGGTTTTTTATTTTTGGGGGTAATCAGTGCTAATGCTAGATCTTTAACTCAGTGGAATGCCAAATGGAGCAACAATAAATTGAGCCGGTCTCGCCGATGACTGGAGTAGATCCTGAAGTATGTATTAACTCATAAATAGAGTTTGAATCCATTGATCAATGAATCCAGAATCGTTCCCCAAGAATCGAAATCAAATCATGAGACACCCAAAGATTCTCAGCTCTACTTTTTATGGGCTTTTTATGCCTTTTATTTAGAGCTAGTTCAGTGGATAGTCAGAAATCAGGGAGAGAGAGAGAGTGGGGAGTGACATGCAAGAAAGGAGCTACAGGTCAGACCCGAACCCGGCCCGTCTGAAGGGAGGACCACAAACTCAACACATGGGTTGCGCGCATTAACTACTTGACTACTGGCGCCCTGCAATTGAGTGAACATCTATCTGTGTAGTACAAACTTACGTATGATTGGTCAAATCTGAAGTAAAAAGAATAATGGACTCTAGCTTCCAGAAGTAAGAATACACTCAACGTTTGTGGGCGGCTGTGGTCCGACGCCACCCTAGCATGTGAACTTGTACTGTCATATTCTGTATTATTTCATTTATTTAGCTGTGCTTGTTTTTTATGTTTATGTTATTATCTAACGTATCGTGCAGTGTATGTTTCACAGACTTTACAGAGAGGACAAAGTCCATCAAATGTGTTAACAGAATTTTTTGGCAAAGGACGAAACGCATTTATAATTTTGATCAAATGCTCCATCGCCTGTGAAGTGTATAACGTGACAAAGGGGAAACTTTGGTTTTCAATGGCAACTTTTTTTTTAAATTATTTCTTTGATAAATCTTCATGATGTGTTCCTTTGCTGTCCACTAGAGGGCACTGGTCCATTACAGTGGCAAGGCGGCTCTGCTTCAAAGCCTGGCAAACCAAAAGGAAAGAAAAAATGTTCCTCCAGACAGAAATTTGATGTAAGTACTCACACTCTTTGTTCTTACTGGGTATTTTACGGTCTGCTGACATTTTTAGTTAAATTTCCAAATAATGGCTGACTGCTGATACTTTTAAAGTTCAGTGGGATCTACTGAATTACCAGATGCTGGAACAAGTGATTGTGCATCTTGTTTGGTCCCTCAGCATCGTTTTCAGCCTCAGAACCCTCTGAGCGCTGCACAGCCTTTCAGCCCTCGAGAAATGGGAGGAGGAGGAGGAGCAGGAGCAGGAGGAGGAGGAGGAGGAGTTGGTGAGGAGGAGGAGCTGCGTCTCAGTGCCCACACTCTGCTGCTGCCCACACGGGGTCAGCTGGAGGCTCGCATGATGGTGACGGCCTTTGAGCTGGGTCTGGATAACATCACAGACGACTCTGTCAGCACCATGATCCATGCTGTTGAGGTTTGTTTACACAGTCCACCAGCAGCAGTGTGTAGAGTCGACTCTATGAACACAAGCCCACATCTCACATTACAAATGAGCCTTTATATGCTCTGTATGGAATAAGATGCACACTGTCAGAGAGTCAGAGTATAAATGATTGTTGTCCCAGTCTGTCAATTCACATTGTGACACACAGGAAGACATGCACGCACACGCAGTGCTGCACTCCCCTGCTGGCTCCACTTAAACCGCCTTTGTAACGCCTCTTGTTACCAACTCCTAAGGCGGTACAGACACATTACGCCTCCGCAACATTCAGATTGAAGGCGAAACATAACAGGGGCGTAAATATCGTGCCTTGAATCGACAGTGTTAATACGGCTAAAGACGCATTCATAAAAGATATTGATAAAGGAAAACCATTTTGTGGGTTTACATCCTTCAACATCCTTCAAACATGTTTACTGCAATAAAAAAACAACCAACAGCTGGTCAATGACTTAAACTTTTCTAGCAATTTTCTAGATTAGACAACTCTAAGCCCTTTTACACCCCCAATCACACCTAGCCATTCACACACTATGGTAGGTTCTTTTTTGAAGTGTCAATTATATTAACCAATCCCATTCATACGCTGCCGAAAAGCAGCAAATTGGGTTAAGTTCCAGAACACATTGGACATGGGCTGCAACCTAAAACAACCAACAGCTGGTCAATGGACTTAAACTTTCTAGCAATTTTCTAGATTAGACAACTCTAAGCCCTTCTACACCCCCAGATCACACCTAGCCATTCACACACTGATGGTAGAGGTTTCTTTTTGAAGTGTCAATTAGTATTAACCAATCCCATTCATACGCTGCCGAAAAGCAGCAAATTGGGGTTAAGTGTCCAGAGACACATTGGACATGTGGCTGCAGGACCTGGGGATCGAACCCCGACCTTCAGCCACAAACGTTAAATGTATTCTTACTTCTGGAATCTAGCGTTCATTATTAATTTTACGTTTGATTTGATTTATCATATGAGTGTTTACTACACAGATAGATGAAATACATTCAATTTAGGGGCGTCGATAGCCATGTGTGTAGGCTGTGGTCCACCAAAAAATACTCCTTTTAAAAAGAGAAGAAAGAAATTCATTCAATTCTAATTGATAATGTCCCTTTAAAATGAATAAAATGCAGTGTGCTTAAGTCTTTAGAAGCAGCATCCATACAAAAGTTAAAAATGAATTTGGAGATTTATTTTGTACCCTTCTCTAAAGCTTCTGCAGACAAGTGTGTAACTGCCAATCTACCATCATATCTGCTTGTTGATGTGCGCTCTCTGTCAACACTCATTGTCTACGAGCAGAGACTGCTAGAGGAGAAACCAAAGAAGCTAGCCGCCAAGACACTGTCCTGAACTTGTCCTTCACCTGTAGGCAGGTTTAATCTGCTACTACAAGTACTCGATTTTCCAAAGTTGCCGACGTCATCATTAAATCTGACTGACAGCTGAGTTGACTCAGGAGATCGGGGTTGGTTTTACTTCCTGCTCTTGATTCATTCCAGCATCACCTTAAAGACGTCCTGACGGCCGTCATCATGAGGAGGAAGGCCTATCGCTTAAGAGATGGTCATTTCCCTTATGCCTTTGGCAATGACGTCACGCCGCAGCCTTATCTGAAGAACAGCCTGGCTGCGTACCACAGTGTCACTGAATGGTAGGAACAACTGCATTTGCTCTCGCTAGCTGATACACGTTATGCAGAGTTGTTAACCTGTTGATAATGTGTACAGTTAGCCATTGATTACACTGCTATAATTAGAGAGTAGTAGTGATACTGATTACACTTTCACTCCATATTGATTTAACTTTCTTTTACTTTCAGTCCCCCTCCCAGCGCGTCCCTCCCCACCGGCCCACCTCCTCAGGTGTCACCTGATGAGGCCGAGCAACAAGCTGTTCACTTACTAGCTTGTTCTGCGGACATGCTCCCTGCGCCCCTCCCTCCGATCAGCATGTTTGATCTTCTGGAAGCTTTACAGGTAAGAAAGTTGTACTCATGTAGTTCCCTGTTGTCAGAACCTTATCTAACCTTTCCACCCACCAGTGCTCTGTTACTTATCTGGTCACTGTGGCTGCAGGCTTGGCAAGTTAGCCAAGCCCCGTATGTCTCGCACTGAAGTGTTTGAAAACACACCAAATGAAACGATGAATCCTTGACATTTCATGTGGTAAGAAAATACAGATATTAAAAAATAAAGGGGTCCTGTGGCTCTCACGAGCATTACTCGATTAACTACATTGTGTTACAGTATTCAAATTTGGTGAACTTGGTCGTAAACTCCTCGTAAAAGGTCCTTTCATTTTGTACCTTGTTATCAGCTGTATGCGATGATTTTAAGATGTTTTCTGTACTAGCATGACACTCAAGATTCATCCTCATCGTTGGTGTGTTTGATAAAAAGGACTAGTCAGTGGATTATCTGTGTCCTATAATCTGAACAAATTTGCTCTTTTCTTTAGCAATGATATAAAAATGTGTATCTTGTGTTGATGGTCGGGTAAAGCAAGGTATTTGAGAGGATGACTAAGGTTTAGGTTTAATGTGACAGGTGGTTTTCACATTGTGTTGGGACTTGAGGGGAATCCAATTGATCAAGACTGAAATCATGTCTCCAGCTAGACTCTCTCCCCCCCCCCCCCCCCAGTGGTGGCACGAACGTCCGAACTCCAGTAACAGCTCTGATGATGATGACTACCTGTCCTTACTTGACCACTTCAGTTTATATGTGCTTTAATATCTTTGTGAAATACTTGTCTGACGTAGGTTCACCACAAAGTGATGCCCTCCCACACCATGTACGCTCTGAACATGGAACGCATCCTCGCGAGGCTCTGGCACCCCAGCCATGAAGAATTGGAGCAGGACCACGTACACCGTCAGCGTCTCACTGCCAAAGAGGGCGTCCTCGTCAGCTGAGAACCACTGACACAGGACTGGGTGTGAGATGTGCATATCATCAGGAGTCACACGTAAAAAAAATACACAGGTGGAAAATAATGGTTTCGAAAAACAATATGTTCTATAATCCGCTCCACATAGTATGAAAAAGATAAACATAAGTGAAGTGAGATGAAACAAAACAGCTGGTCAGAGGACACCGAATGGGCAGTTAGCTTCAGCCAATAGATGGCAAAATGTAGCTCTCTGGCTACTTTATTTTCTTTGTTCTACCAGCCATTTTGGCATTTACCTAATCATCATTTGGAGCTTCATTATAAATATGAGAGTGTTTAAAGTGAGGCTATATGAGCAACTACAACCATTTGCACCACAACTGTTAGAAAACACCAGGAACATTGAGCCTCTAATCCTGAAAGCTGTTGAGTACATGATCCAGGTCACAATGTATTTCATGTAAGAAAAACATTCCTCAAGAGCCCAAACTGTGACACACAGGTGTGTTCATGTCTCCTAGCTGATAAGTCGTCCCTGCGTCAAAATCATTTCTTTTATCTTTTTTCTCGGGCACACACTGCAGCTGCCTTGACGAAGTACTCTACGTGCAGTATTCAACATATTACTTTGTGCCTACAGTGAAGAACACCCTGCTCATTCATATGTGGTATTACGCAGAGTCCAATTGAAATATTGTAAAAATCGATCCATTGAAGACGCACCATGCGATTTGCCAAACCAGCTCAAGACACACACTTTGTAAGAAATCCCTTTGGATACTTTCGGTATGTGTTTGTTACTTGGTAATATTAAGTTTTAACTATGCGGTGGTTTGAAACGTGCAGTGTTGTATTGATAAAAGCAAAATGGCATCTACTAGGATGATTTAGTTCTATTCATAGATCTATTCATATGTTGTTGTTGCTTATTTTTCTGACATTAACAATTATCCCATAATCCTTCACTGCAGGTGGAGGGTCAGAACAGCCAAAAAAAAGCAAGCTGGCTTGCATAATGAAAATGGGGAGTGGCATGTAGTCGGACATCCTCATATTTCTCACATACTAAATGACGTCTATATTTATCGGGACATACTAAAGGGCTTTCTGACATGATTATTCAAATGGAAGTGATCACAGCCGTAATGTTAGGGGTAGCCTTCATGACGTCATCTCACTCACTGCGCCAAAAAAATATCGACAAAGGCGGTAAATGTCCAGTCTTTACAGGTCCAGCATGATTTTCAATCAAACTTGTCTACGCAGGATCCTAGAAGAGGTCCAATCAAGCACTAAGTGAAAACACCTGTGTCGTTTTACTGTGGCTGTGTTGGTCTTTAAAATCTGTCCAACAGCTGCATCAAGCCCCTCATGAACTATGCCTATAAACTATCTCCCAACGCATTCCTCGAACATTCACTGGTGCTGCTGAAAGTTTATCATGCTATCTGTCAGTGTTGGAGGTCCACAATGTTTGCACACAAGCTGAATTTTGTTTTGTCTCAGTGCACTTGAAGATCTGTTTGCCACTTTTGCATTTTTGTTGATCCACACAATCCAGTCAAGGAGGAACTGTAGATTTTTCTTCTCTTTTTTTTTTTTTTTTTTTAAACAAAGCTTGTTTGTAATTTATAAAACTAACAGTTCGGAAAATAAAGTATTTTTGTACATGTTCACTAGCTGTTTGAATTTATTGTTTCAATCAAAATGCACTACTCCTTACAGTTAAAGGATCATGTAATATTTACATTTTACTTATGTTCTATGGCCAAAATAATGCATTGCATTGTTGCATTTCTTCAGTGCCATACAGGAGACTTCATACACTCAGTCAACACACAACATTGTCTAATTTACCAAATAACACTTGTATCACAGACGGTGAAAAAAAGCTGCATTCGCTTTAAATTGTTTAAATATTTCTTCTTTCCCTTAAACAGTTCCCTACAGATAATGAAGAGATTTGCTAATGCCCTTATAGATTTCTTGTAGGAGTCACCAGCTGCAGTGGGAGGACGGTGATTCACTCACTAACACACCCGTCCCAGGGCGCTCTCAGGACCCCGTTCCATATATGGCTGTCTGCGGCTAACTTCCGACAACTCACCGACCAATCAGCGGCCGCGTAGAGTCACCAGCCATTACAGGCGTCCCACACCGCACTGGTGACTCAATATCCCGTCCGCCCCAGTTCCTTTAATAACAAAACACCTTAGGTACAGCACAGTAAGGCTGCATTAAGTATTTAGAAAAGTACACACACATAACTGCGTGTCCAACATTTTATTTCGTCATATTTACAGTTCTGAAGTGCTCAAAATACAGCGTACAAATATTATTACAAAGTGTTATTTCGGGTCTAACAGAGTTATCATAAACTCGTATGAACAAAGGAGTTAAGAAAATAAGGCAGGGTTGTTTTTTTTTTCAGTAAACGCTACACACACCTGAAAGAGTCTTTGCTTTAAGGTGTTAAACATGGTTTTTTTTTGTTTTTGTTTTTTTACATTGTTAGTGTTACTCTGTACAAACTGTAAAGTCGCTGGTGGGACTCAGTGCTCGACTCAAGTCTATATGCAGCTTGAAATAGAGGGCCTCCTTCACAGTTTCTGCCCGATGCAATTTGATCCCATCAACTGACTGTCTAAAAAGGACTGCACCAAATGTAATACATTTAAACGACTTTAAATTGTGAGAGATTGCAAATGATTTTTTTTTTTGACTTAATACAAATTTGACCTCTTAGTTTTATACGAAGAGAAGAAAAAAAAAAAAAGAGTCGAAAATGCCAGAGATGTCCCAAATGCCACACTAGAGGGAGCAGATGTTCCCTGTGAGCGTCCCTTTTTCTGAAGTTCGGTGGTGAATGTCCTTTATATTGACCAATGAGTCTCAGTCACTCCATCGTGGCATTTTATAAGCTTAGTGGACACAGTCTTGGTGGATAATATTGTGGAAAAAAAAAATTGAAATGATATGGCTGAACGGGCCCCACTTTCAGCTGCATTTGGTCCCCAAAGAAACGTCCCTTGTTCCCCCCCCCCCCCTCCCTTTCAGTCTAGAAAGCTTGAAGCTGCTGCGTCAAAATGAGCTGGCAGCCGCTGTTAACGTGGTCCATGACCTTTTGCTTGAGCAGAGCCAGCTCGTCCCGCAGCACGTTGGCGGAGGAAACTAACTCAGTGTTTTGGTTCTTCAGGTTTTTGACCCTGTCCTCCAGCCGGGAGATCCTCTCCAGTTTCCTTTTCCGGCATTTGGACGCGGCCACCCTGTTCCTCATGCGCTTCCTCTCCGCTTTGATGCGCTCCTGGTTCTCCATGTCGATGGGGGACAATGGTGGGGTATCTCCGGACATCTCGGGGACTGTCTGCGGCTCCTCTTTGAGCGCGTGGAGCCGCTGGTGGTCCATGTGGCTGTGGGACGGCTGCGGGGCGGATGGGTAGCTGATGGGTGGGTGCCTCTCGCTGGCAGGTGCAGACGCAGAGCCTACCGCCCGGCTGTAAGTGCCCAAGTTTGTATACTCGGGCGGGTCCGAGCGCACCGTGCAGCTGTAGGGAATCCCGCCGCTCTCCGACGCAGCAGAGCCGGATGCCATGCTGCTGCTGCTGCTGCTGCTGCTGGTCGCGCCGGGCTGCGCGTCAGGGTGCACGGCTGGGGGGGGCTGCTGGTGGTAGTGGAGCTCAGCCAGAGCCCTTACGAACCCTTCCGCGAACCCTTCCTGCTCGTCCGTGATGTTCTTGGGACAGACGAACTGGGTCGGGGTGGGGGTCGTGAGTCCCGTACAAGACTGGATGATGAGTCTCTCCAGCTCCGGCGAGGCCAGCTTCAGCAGTCCCACATCAGGGGACGTGAGGATGTCCAGGGCCTTGGCGCTCAGCTGGGGCTTGAAGTTCTTCGGGTCGTTCAGATTTAGAGTCATGCTCTGTTTGAGGGTTTTGGGGTTGAAGCCGTACACCGCGACCGTCCCGTCATGCTGGGAGTTTGAGGCGTTCACGGCTTCCTCGTAGAAGGTCGCTTCCATTTTCTTGGACATAAAGTTTTTGTCGCCCTTTTTCATGAAATAAAAGTGTCCAAAGTCGCCTGTTTACATTCGTCCTGTGACTCTTTATCTCTCGACTGTCTTGTGATCGAGTCCGCCTATTGTTGAAGTTCAACTCACTTGACAACTTCGCGTCCCGAGAAAACTTTTCTCTTCTTGCGAACCGCGCGGTAATAAACAAACACCGCAGTTCCCTCCTTCGTGAAATCTCCCTGTTTCCACACCTGAGGTGTCCTCTTTGATTTCCTCTTCTCCTTAAAAAAACTACAAACACAGCCTGAACGGGATAATACTTTCTATCACTTCCAACGTGGAGACGAACTTTATCCACCTCTAAGCTGCTGCTCCACTGAAAATAACAATGATGTCATTTCTACGACCTCTGATTGGCTGGAGATGATTTGGTGGGCGGGGGTTGTCTAATGACATGCAGGTTGCTCTGACAACTAGCCATATCCCCGCCCCCCCGCGATGGCTTATGGGATTAGGTAATGCAGACAGTGGAGCAATGTACTCTGGGATTACGTAGTGTTTTTGAATATTTAGTTACCCGCTCAATTATTAGTTACCCATCCTCAAGAAAGCGCTGACCTACATTAGTTTATTGAGGTTTTATTGATTAGCACACAACAGTTAATCAACAGTCTTTCCATAAGAGGATTTTACAAGGAGTAGGCCTATCTCTAATAGTAGCCTCATGTAAATTCAAAGCCATGGGCTAATACTTCATTTAAAGAATTGATTCATATAGGCTTTAAAAAGGAATACTGACCTGAAATCTTTGGTGCTTCTATATTGATATCGAGTCTAGTTTTTGGTTGGTAGATTTAACAGGTTCAAGATGGAAAAGAGAAAATGAGGTCATACCTGTGCCAGCTCTTTTGTTGTGAAGAACAACACATCTCAAAGAGGTCTGACGGCAACCAAGCATGTTTTTAAATGCTTTTCTTAGGTTTCTGCAGATAATGTGCGAGTAATGTGAGCAATTTATTAGTAGCCTAAAGTATGAAAAGCACAAAATCTGACTGCAGTTTTTAATTGATCCCAATTGAATTAAGTAACCAGTAGCATTTATATACCACTACATAGGCCACAAGTACTATGGCCGATTAGTTAATTTACAGACACAAGTTAGTAAAAAAACAAAAACACAACATTATATATGTCTGACTGAGTATAAACCCATGTGATCTTTGAAGGTCATATAATCAATTACATAGCCTAGGTTAATATTGATATGTTTGTCTATACTGTATCTAAATAATTATAAGCACTATGTAATTGATTGCTCAATTTACTGTAATGGTAAAGCCAGCTCTATTGCAGTTTCCAATAAATTGTTAAAATATCAAGCAATCTAATTATTTATAAATCCCCCATATTTAAATATGAATGTGCTTTCAATTTATAATTGCCCGTGTAACATATTAACAATAGGCCTACATATTTAGGATTATTTTTTCAAAGAATTATACTAATATACCATTAGGATTAATACATTCTGTCTTTTCATAATCAGCCAATTCAGAATTTTAAACTAGTTTTATCACGTGCTAAGGACATAGCACGTCTTATTTGATCAGATATTTTAAAGTCAAGGTAACTCGAATAATGACATTAATATAAATATACTCTCGTACTTCATAGCCTCAAAGTTACGAGGCAGTCAGGCCTCTGATTTGGCCAAGGCATGTGTGGAAACATTGCATGATAAACTTTCTGAGCAGAAAGTATACACTATAATCATCATTTATTCTGTAGTTCACTCACACAGGCCTGGTCGGTAAATGTAAAGCTGCTCCAATGACTGAAGGCTTTGTACAGCTGCAGTCCAGCCTGTCTGGCCTCCCCCATTGTATTATTCAACATATTCTCCTCAAGCCAACTATAAATAAGTTAACAGCCCTAGACAGCCTGGGAGAACCAGAGCTGCTTGAGGTCAACACTCTTGAGATGAAATGTTGTCCTCCCAACACGTCGTGCAACACCCATTTGGAAGTATTTGACACCCTGAAGTGGAAATCCAGCACTGAATTCCTTACAAACATTTGTGTCTTATACCACTGTGGAATGAAGACAAACAAGGCCTCAGCTCTTTATTATTTCTTTCCTCTTCTCTCTCAACATAATACAGCAGCTTGTAATCCAACAATAACTTTCTGAACCCTCTGTTCACCTGTGTTTAGCCCCATTGAGGAGTACTTTCCTATTGAACTGCTGCTGTGCCCCGGCCGTTCTTCCTGTTTCTCTGTCAGCTTTTCCCCTCTGCTGGTCTGACGGGGTCGCTTTTAGATAACAACGCCTTCCTCCTCCCTGCACGGGCCAGCTGTTTCCACAGCATGAAGTTCTCTAATCAGGAGCTCGTCCTGCCTGCCTCCCAACATGAATGCTTTTGTTGTACAGAGGTGGGACAGCCCTCCTTCCATGATAGCAAAACATAGAGAGGGACTACATGTGGATGTTTCAAGAGAACAAAGTTTGATTGGCTTCAGACACATACACATACACATACACACGACGAGCAGTGAGAGAGAGACAGATGAGATTTCAAACACTGTCCGTTCAGTGTTTGTTGAACGCCATCTGTTTCTTCCTGTCCTGCTGCTTGGTTTTTCTCTGCTCATCTCTGCTGATCATTCCTGATCATCTAAACACACTGATCATAGCCAGCAGTACTTCCTTTAGACAGCTGCAGATCTCCTCTAAGAAAAGAAAACAATAGAGTTTGGAGACGTGGCGGGATTCAGAGAGCAGAGTCTGACCTCTGATTTTGTCTGAATTGTCTGCAGCCATATCTTTAATTCATTGTTATGTATTGCTGTACATTATGTCCGGAATCCATACAAAAAGCCTAACCTTTTCACAGACGACTTTTTGATATGTCATAGAAGAAAAAAATGGTGGTCTACCTAATAACATTAACAATGGCTCTGCTCCATTAAGTTTTGCATGTGTCCTGTGGCCTTTTATTGTGCACAATGGCTTAGCATGACTTATTGAAATGTTTTAGTGGGACAGAGAAATGCTTTTCTACTGTTAGTCAAAATATCAGCTGAAATACATTCTTTAGATCAAATAATGAAATATTAATAACGGACCTGCTAGTTTCTTAAATGTCTAAATCAGTCAAACAAAAATCAGCAGCAGACGTACCATTATAGTAGCTATTTAAACTGCTTTAGGCCCTAATGGGGCCTGAAAGCCCATAAAGTATGTCTGGTTTCGATTAATTCAATACATTACAAACGTTTTTTTGAATAATAACCAGTTGACAAAGTGTCCGCATTACTCGTCTATTCTTTATGTTATTAAAGCTTTTGTTGCGCTCACAGGGTTTATCAAACATAAATGTGTTTACACTGTACTTGGAGAAGACAAGATACACTCACATGGAAGAGATAATTCTCTTGATGTTTTTTCTATTAAAGGGCAAACAAAAAGTTTTGATCTGAACAATCTGTTCACCTCCAAAATCATAATTAAGTCAGTGCACTAAGAAAAAACACATGCAGAGGATTTTTTGAGTGTGTGTCCTTGTTTAATTGGTTCAAAACTACTTTATTTTGGGTTATGAATCATGAGAGAAAAACATAAACTTAACATTACAAAACTATTATTTCACACAAGGGCCAACAGCTTACATTTAGATAAATGATTCAAGAAAGCTTTTGTTCTTCTGTATTGAACAGTAACTGTACTTTAGGAATTTGGAGGCTTTTGGGCCCATGCAGAACCTCATTTTCACTCCAGGAGCCTTTGAGCTGGTCATGCATGTTTCTTATAACAACCTCACTGAACCATAACACATAGGCTACATGTTTATGTAAGGACAGGGTTTCCAGAGTAATTGACTGTAAATACTTTCTCCCATATTAGTAAAGCTAATTCTATTCAGGATATGTCCATTGCCTGATGACTGTGCAGTAAAACACTGACATTTTATAACTTAGCTTTCTTATGCTAATTTTAGCTTCGAACTTTGTACAGCTCGGCAGAGAAAATCGACTTTGCCCTTTTTGTCCACATTCGAGCCCCGTAGTAGTCACAATCTGCAACACCGCAGAACGCTGTCCAGAAACTCAAAAACTGATGTTTTATCCTCTGAAATAGGATTAATATCGGCCGGTAAGTTCTGAGATCATGTCTCAGCAGTCACACAGTTGTTCTTTATGCTTGCTAATGTTATTAAATGGTAGTTGAATTGTTATTTGGTGCGAGTTCTTGTTGTTCTTGTGGTCCGTATCTGAGTGAGTGAGCGGGCGTCATTGTAGCGTTATCATCTTAAGAAAGATTAATAAATGATAAATCTATGGCAAGAAGACCATGCAAATGCGTTAACATCCGTTTTAAGTCTGTTTTGTAACAGTATATCAAATATTGACAGTGCATGTTGGTTAATAATCAACCCGTGGGTCTCCCTCCTCCTCCTCTTCTTCAGCTCCTCTCCCCATGGCGGAGGTCTATTATGTCGGAGTGGACGTGGGGACTGCCAGTGTGAGGGCAGCACTGGTGACCAGGACAGGCCTGCTGAAGAGCACTGCAGAGGAGCCCATCAGCATCTGGGAGCCCCAGTCTGACCACTATGTCCAGTCCTCCACAGAGATCTGGGACACGGTGTGCACAGTTGTTAAGGTACACTGACCTGCGAGCAGTGTCTGGTTTGTCAGATAAACTTCTGACCTCACTCATGTTTTCAAATGTTTCTGCTGGCTTTCCTCCACCAAAGAGCCCAAAGAGTGGCACAGATTGTATCTTTTTAACTGTTATCTATTAACACTTAATAGTTCAACTATTTGCCTCTAAGCACTTGAAACATCACAAGCCAAAACTTGTGGCTAACTAATTCAATTTCTTTATCCATTGTTTTACAATCCAAGACAATATTTATTAATTACTCTAGCTGTGTCCTACGTTAGCCAATATTTCTACTGTTTAGTCCCTACTTTTCAACTTTCATCCCTTAATTTAAGATAACTATTTCAACTTTTCTTCTGTGGTTTATACTCAAACTGTGAAGCCTCAGTGTCGCCAGTAAGAAAACTATTTCCACTGTGTTTCTTTAAGATAAAGGCTCATCAGTTAAGATAAACAACTGTCGGTCATTTTGATAACTATTATGATCTGTTAAATATTTAAAGATTTTCCAACAGACGCAAGGCAACTTTATTTAAACCTTTTTTTTTTAAACTTTAATCTAACAATTAAATTTAAGAATAGTAAACTATCTTAAGGGGTTATCCAATACTATTAGGGAAATATGTCAAGTTATCCTATTAGCTATTCTAAACTGTGTATCGATTACTTTTAGTTACCCCTACCTATTTCAACTGCTTACCATTTACCTTCAGCACACTTTAACAGCTTTTTACCAATACTTTTTTTTTTTTTAACTGCATCAACTTTTATCGAGCACTTCGAACTATTCTGTCATTTGTTCATTTTAGCTATCATTTAAAAGATTAACCCTGCTTCTTTCTTTTAGCCAACTATTCAGCATTTAGAGGATGTTTCTCTTGATTCAGAAACAGCACACATACTGTACACATAAGATGAGAGGTGTGAGATCTGTTAAGACTTTATTTTGTTTTTGTTCCAGAGAGTAACACACAGTGTCGAGAGGAGTCAGGTACGAGGGATCGGCTTTGATGCTACCTGCTCTCTTGTGGTTTTGGACCAAAGCTTCCAGCCTGTACCAGTCGATCAGGATGGTAAACAACAACACATGTATTTGCCTCAACTTTGTTCCTGACATATCACTCTTGTTTTGTTGTTTACATCAGGAAAAGTTTCAAGGCCATTTGAAGAGTCAATTTTAGGCCATTTCAAGGCCATTTGAAGAGTCATCTAACCCTGGAGATGGTTAAGATTCATGTATTTTCCTTTAAATAAGGTGAGTGCAGGGGTCAGGAACCAGAAACTCAAGTAAAACCACTTATTATATGCTGCCTGGAACTTCACAAATACCAACACAGCTGTCCTGTCCTACTCCTAGCCAAATTCAATCTCACCCAAAACCTGAACATTTTATTCAACATTAGCTGTTTGGTTCATTTTGTTTACGTTTCTCCAAACTGATCTTTCCCTATCTCTCACCTGACTTCCCCAGGTGATGGACAAAGAAACGTGGTGATGTGGATGGACCATCGTGCTGAAGAGCAGGCCGCTCGTATCACAAACACCGACCACGGGGTCCTGAGCAGGGTGGGAGGAGTCATGTCACCAGAGATGCAACCTCCGAAGCTGCTCTGGCTCAAAGAGGTGAGAGGTGAGCGAGGTCAACGCGGGGCCACTGATCTCAATATGTTTAAATTTCACTCTCTGTTTTGTCTGCTCAGCATGTGCATTCCTTTGTTTGAGAAGGTTTCATGCTTTACCCACCTTTTCCTCTGGAGGCATCTGTTAGATCGAAGTTACCTAACGTCTTTTTTTTCTAAATGTGTCTACTCACATTTCTGTACTGTTGTTGCTCTGTGATCAGGGGTCCATTATCACACACTTCTCTGTTCTTTCCTCCAGAATCTAAGAGAAAGTTGCTGGAACAAAGCTGCCCACTTCTTCGATCTTCCAGACTTCTTATCATGGAAGGCAACAGGCTCTTTGACACGGTGAGCATTGATGGATGATGATCACTGGGATTGTGTGATAGATTATCTGTTTTTACAGCAGGTAGGATACTAAGAAATGTATTTTGCAAAACAATCTGTTTTTAATGTTGTGGCCATCACCAGGTCCAAATACATCTATCCTGAATCATGTGACAATGCTATTTTGCAATATTTAACAGGTCTTTATGTACTCTTGTGTGTAAATGGACGTACTGTCCTCCAGAAGGATGGGACTCTAGTTTTTGGACAAGCATAGGACTGGAGGATCTACTGGAAAATAACTTTTCCAGAATAGGTATAAAACCATTTTTGGTGACATATTTCACAAATTCTGAGGAAGCCGCAAAGCAATGACAGGGTTTTCACACCAGGATTTTTCTAACATGTCACATTTTTCTTTTTCCTGTTATGCAGGTAGTGTGACGTGTCCTCCAGGGAGCCCGTTGGGACACGGCCTCACTCAGGAGGCAGCAGCAGATTTGGGTTTGGAGCAAGGAACAGCAGTTGGTGCTTCCCTCATCGATGCTCATGCGGGAGGCCTTGGTATAAAACCCTTGACACGTTTATTGAACTAAATATGATTTTTGTTTTTTGCCTCAAGTTCATTTGCAGGTCTAGCTAGCTCTTAAAGGACAGAGATTTTTTTGTAATGTAGCCTTTTGTTGCCATCGTAGATGAAATTCAGGTATACTGCGTTTAAGATATCCTGAGTGAGGAGGAGACTCAGGAGTCAAGACATGAAGTTAAAAAGAACCGTGAGACAGAGTCCACTCTACCAGGCTTCTACTACTTGTAGTTTCGACACAGAGAAGAAAGAATGGGGAAGAAAATAGTGGCGAACACGTTACACATCAGCTCACCTCGACTTCACTTTGAAAATGTACTAGGGGGCTGGCAGGAAAAAAAACTCAGAGTAAAGTCAGAGTGAAAAATGCAGCTGTTTGCGCTCACACATGCAGCTCACCCTGAAACGTTTTGTGCAACTGTAAAAGCACTTTAGGAAACCAAAACATCGGGTAAAAGGGAGGCAGAGGATTTTTCTTTTCGTTAAAACATTTTGGGTAGCTGTAAAACGAAGATCCCAACTGTGTAAAAATAATAAATTAAGAAGCTACTCCACCAGATGAATAGTTCAAACTCAAGACATTTTATGATTGTTCTCTCCCCCCCCCCCCATAAATGTTTCCTTTTCACATTTACAAAGTGTAGCACATTTGTTTTGGTAGACAAGGTGAGGCTAACTAAAGAATGGATCTAAATCTCAGGGGTATGTCAATATTTAAAATAGTTTCATGAAATTCCTGCTCTAGATTTAAGTGTGTAAAGCAAATAGTTAAAGTTTTGACCTGAGGCTTAAACCTGAGGAGGGAGGTTACTGATTTATATTGATGTATGTATTTTTTTAATGAATCCTTTATTTAGACAGGTAATCTCATTCGGACTGGTTACATGTTAGAGCAAACCAAAACTAAACCAGTGATATGTTTTGATAGAAGGTAAAATAACATGCCACTCACAGTTGTCTGATGTAAAACTTGCTAATTGTTGCTCCTCTACACTGTATCTGCTGGCTCCAGGGCTACTAGAAGAGCATTTTTTCTGCTTCAGAAATCCAAACCATCTGGTTTTGTTCTGCGAGATAAACTGCGCACGAACCCTGCCCTCTGACTCGAGGCTGCGACCTCGGCCGATCACACATTGTTGTGTCAGTCAGAGGTTAAAACACTCTGCACTTTTTAGTCGCTGTGCATGTCACGGTGATGAACGCCCCTTGTCCCTGAACCGTCCACCTTAAACTCAAACCAGCTTGACAAACAATATTCCAGCATTTAGTGTCACTGCTGAATCACATGTGAAGGTTAGAGGAGCACTTCAAAAGAATTAAAGCTTCTGATCTGCAAATCATTGTGATTTGTCCCTGACCAGCCTCTCACAGGAGGTCTGACTGCTCTGCAATGTGTGTCCAGGTGTGATAGGTGCAGATGTAACAGGCTTTCAGTTACCCTGTGAGGACCAGCCAATCAGCTCACGCATGGCGATGATCTGTGGGACGTCAACCTGTCACATGGCGGTGAGTGTTTGACTGACTCTGGATTACCAGCGTTCCCCTGCATACATTTTTAGTGAAACTTGTTATCAATAAAACACTATGTTATTACCATGCCATATAGTATAATTCATCAGGACCTTATGACACTAACACACATTTCCAAGTAAGCCACAGCATGACTAACACAAAATCTCCCCTAATGAATCACACACGCACAGCGTTTTAAGAGACTCTGAGGTGATGTAAAACTAAAACGCAGGACTGTAGTCTATTAAATCATCTTTGTGACCACTGTGAATTCTTGCCTGTAATAAGTCATTTTTACATATATCATATTTTTTTTTTAAAAGACTGAAAAGAACAGCAGTAACTGATTGTGAAGCAAATTGGCACCGCATCACGTTTTAGGATGCATCTTCGTTTTACTGCAGCACCATGCATCTTTTGATTGATGTGGAAAAGAAAATGAGCATGCTTTTAATTTCTAAAGGCAAAGGAAATGTTTCACCTTCTTGTGCATCAGATCAGTGAGCAGCCTCTGTTTGTGCCCGGGGTGTGGGGGCCCTGCCTGTCTGCCATGGTGCCCGACATGTGGCTCAACGAGGGAGGACAGAGTGCTACGGGAAGGCTGGTCAGTCCACTTACAGGCTTTGGTTTTGATTTAAATGACCTGCTTTAAAGCTCAAGAACAGAAAACTGTATATACAGGAAGAAACTACACGTGTATATATATATATATATATATATGTGTATCCATCTGTATATGCATCCAGACATGTTTTACATATCTGACCACTCAAACAACAACTTGTCAAAGCAGTCTGGTCCATGTGTCGTGTCTTTTTAAGAAAATGATCGACCTTTATTTTGGTGTGACAAACAAACCAGATTTGTTTGCGAATATACAATTTATGTTTCATCATCTGGTTTAAATAGAATTCAGCAGAGTCACATGTAACACACAGTGAATGATTGTTTAAAAGATTGTTTTTTCTTTAGCTTTATTTTTGGGGCTTTCCATGCCCCGTATTTTGGGGACAAGACCGGGGATAATCAGGAATCAGGGAGAGAGAGAGAGCGAGAGAGAGAGAGAGAGAAGAGAGAGAGAGAGAGACCCTTAAAAATTTAAAGTGATAGTGATGTGACATTTGTTAGTCTCAGAACGAAGCAAACTTGGTTCCTTCTATCTGAAGAAAAGGAACACGATGTCCCTGCAGCATTACAATACCTTCTTTTTTATTCTGTTTTTTTTTTTATACACATATTATCATATTATAAAATATTTAGTTTAATTTAGCAGCTGGACGATTCAAAGTCATGAAGTTTGTAAAAACACAGAATCGTTTTTTAGCTTCTGTCTTCTCAGGTGTGATGATTTCAGGCTTTTCTCATCACTGTAATTATTATTTTTAATTAGTTGTATTTGTACTGTCCCTTTAAACTGCAGTCACTTTACATGAGAAAGAAAATCTGAATTTTAAAATTGGAATATAATATAAGGAGTAACAGTTGGAGCGTCAAAAGCATTTTTGTCATCAGCTGATTTTTTTGTTTGTTTTTGTAATCGTCTTAGTTGAATTGTCTCCTCCCTCAGATTGAGCACATGGTGAAGGGCCACGTCGCCTACACGCAGCTCCAGGAACAGGCTCGACAGAGGTCAGCTGATGACTTTGATAATGAACTTCCCAAAAGTATTTCAACACAGCTTTTATCCCTGATGTTTGCTCATGTTCAGAAGGCTCTGTATTGTGGGCTTTAATTTTTGTTTCTTAACTATTTGTGGATGCCGCAGTGGAAGTTATTTACTGTACAATTGTTTGATTTTGGAGATATTATTTTGACAGTATCTATTAAGACCTGAGCTTTCCCTACTATGAAAATGACCTGAAGTGTTTTCTCAACAAATTGTTCTTTTACTGTTATTTTATTCCCAGATGTCCCATCACTGGCAAGAACATCTACAGCTACCTGAACAGCCACCTCAGTTTAATGGCTAACTCTCCTTCTGCTGTCGACCTGCTGGGCTCCAGTCTTCATGTGTGGCCCGACTTTCATGGGAACAGGTCGCCCCTGGCTGACCCCACGCTGAAGGGCATGGTGAAGAAACATGAGTGAAAGCTTCACGTGTCTAAAGACATGAAATATTTTGGATCCATGCAAGTTTCTTCAACACACTAAGCCACAGAAGAGCAGTGGTGGTCAGAGAGACGTTTTATCTCATCATATCGGTTAATCAAGGAAAACCAATCAGCAGCAGATAAAAAATAATGTGAAATGAACAAGCTTTTTTACTTTTTACAAATTAAAGGTCACATATTATGCAAAATACAATTTACCATGGTTTTCTAACACTACTTTTTGTCCCTAGTCTGACAACAAACCCCCAATTAGGAGAAAAGTCCATCCTCTCTGGCTTTTGCCGGCTACACTTTTCAGAAAATGTGTGCTCAAACAGGCCGTTAGGAGATTTTCCCGTTGTGACATCACAGACCCCTCCCCCAGGTGGGTGACACTCCCACAGCTAGGTGTTTGTTCTCCCCTCTGAGTCTGCCTTTCCACCTTTAACAACAGGGCACGATGCAAGAAAGCCAAAGCCACATCCCCTTCCAGAGAGGGGGCGTGGTCAAACACAGACCATTTACATTTAAAGCTACAGACACAGAAACAGCCTGTTCTGAGCAGGCCTGTAATAGAGGGGTTTATAGGCATGATACAATACAGGATCAGCGTGGATTTATAACTAGACACTTCACAGACATGTTTTGGACTTACTTAAAGTGATTGAAAATTAGTATAATATGTGACCATTAATATATTAATAGTTTTGGAAAAACAGTACATTATTTTGGTCGAGACATAAAGAAGGGGACTGATTTCATTTCTTCTGCGCTCGGTACAGTGAGGACATTAGTCTAGCTCAACAAAGACTGGCTGGGAAACAGTTTTTCTAAGTTCAACCACACATTCCTTTAAACAAAAAATCTACTTTTAGTGCATGTAGAGAGTATAAAAAATGTTTAATAATGAGATTTAGGAGATCTTTTTTTTCAAACATTCCCAGGCGGGCTGTTTTCACCTGCTTTCACTCGCTCAGCTACATGACAGTGCTATCAATGTGGTCATCACAATCTCAGAATCAATCCAAAAAATTATCCTCCAATGGTTTTGATAAAAAAAAGAAAGAAAGGAAATCTCAACGCAATCAGCTCACAGTTAAATAAAACTGCTAACTTGACACAGCGGCACAGTTACGCCCGGGGTCAAATCTCAGTGCTCAACAGAACATCTGAGTTGTATTTTTTCCTGGTTTGCAGATATCCACTTTAATGTTTGGCATAATTGAAATGGCAACACATTTTGTTAACTTCTGGGAAGAATCACGACTGTCGGTGCAAACAACACATCCAGCCAGTGAAATGATTTCTGTGTTCAGTAAGTGAATAGATGTTTCCAGGCTTTATCTGTAGCTCCAGGAAACAGGAAGCCAGCGAGCAGAGAGCTGTTGAATATTGTTTTGACTGAATTCCTGCTGGTGTTTGAGATACAGGACTCTCAATGACAGCATTTCTTTACCAATCACAGTGTTGGTGAATGTATCCCTCTGTTGATTCTTTCTATTCTAACACTTTGATGACTCTGTGCTGTTTTTCAGGTGATCGGACTGCCGCTTTCTCAAACCCTGGACGACTTAGCCTTCCTCTATTTGGCGACTGTACAGGCCCTTGCTGTGAGTCAACACTGTGATATGTTTACCCAATGCAACAAAATAGTACCATCAAGTACGAAGGAAGTATGGGTGTAACAATACACAGCAGTCCTGGTTCAGTTCGTACCTCGGTTTTGAGAACACAGACAGACTGACTGAACAGTAGTTATTATTGAAGTATTTTATCAGTTTTCACATAAAGTATACAATCACTGTGTTGTTCTCAATGCTCCAAAAGTACAAAAAATAATTATTGATAGGCATTGTGTCCCATGAATAAATAATAGCAGCAAAACTAGAGTTCAACATAAAACATTAGATTCTATAAATAAGTTACAACTGTAGTGCTAGTAACACTGTTTTTAATTTAGTGTCATTAAGAACTACCTGCCATAGTTCCTACAGCCCGTAGTGTATTAAACATTAAACAAAATGATGTTAAATAATCAGCAACATAGAAATGAATAACATGTTCTGATTTGAAAACATCAAATAAATACATCAAATATAAGACAAGCAAAGTATGTGCCTCTAGGAGCAAGGAATCATCTTTATGATAAACTCGTGAGTCTGGGAAGTTATAACTCATCTCTTAAAGGTCACATATTATCCTCCTTTTCAACCATTTTAAATAAGTCTCAGAGCTCCCCAAAACATGTCTGTGAAGTTTCTTGTTAAATCCACTCTGATCCTGTATTTGATCATGACTATAAACCCCTCTATTTCAACCCTGCTCAGAACAGACTGTTTCTGTGTCTGTAGCTTTAAATGCAGGCACAGAAGAGCCATCCATCTGTTGTAAGTGAACAGTGGATACAGCGGTTATTTATTCATGCTAAACCACTGCTCTGTACACCAGTAAAGGGCAGCTCATAGACTGACTCTTGTGCGTACTGGATGGGACGTTGTAAAAAGGTTTGGGCACTTATAAAATACATTCTCTACTAGTCTAATACTGCAAGTGGGCGCATCACCGGTGGTGATTGGCACATCATGGTAATGTAGTCTAATGTTCATTAGCATGTTCGATGTGTTTCCAAGGACAAACTGAACCGTTAACCCAAAGTGTCCCCACGCGACCGGAGTAAAGAAGAAGGCGGGTTTTGTTGGAGCTCTGCTGTGTCATCTTGCTACAACACTTTTCTTCTTCTGCGTTCGTTGTTAAATGGGGTTTAGCAAACAGTTACAAGCATCACTGCCACCAGGATTGTGGACTGTATACAGACATGTGACTTCCTAATTTCTCGACTCTGATGTATTTGTTGTATGACTGCATGCATTGACATCTGTACTGTGACAGTTTTGGACAAATACGAATAGCGCTACCTCATAAGAAAGGTAGGTGTTGTGTTTTTTTTTTAACTCTAAATTGATTCCCTTTGTGTCTTCTTCTCTGGTTTCAGCTGGGTACTCTTCATATTCTGGAGTCCATGAAAGAAGCCGGACATGACATCAGAACCCTCTTCTTGTGTGGCGGGTTGAGCAAAAATTCTCTTTTTGTACAGATTCACGCCAATGCTACAGGTATAAAACATTAACTCACACTACGCCCACTTGCCCCATACCGTGCTGAAGCACAATTTCCTCCCCTCCCCTGCTCGCCTGCACTCACACTTCCAGGACTAACCAGGCCTGATCACGAGAACCTCCATACATACCTCATACAACCATACTTGTAGTGCTGCCGGAGCGAACTGGAATGAGACTTTTTCTCTCCAAGTGAGGAAATACAATATTTGCAGTTTGCATAATGTGGTTTAAATTTGTATATCATTCTTTTTTGAGTGCTTCAAGATCCGAACATCACTGAATTGTCTGTCATGCAAGAGAGATGATAAAAACAAACACGATGCTCGGTTATCATTTTGACATTTACAGGTGGCTTGATTGATGAACAAAGTCAAGTCATGAGTAAGTACGAGGATGAGTAAGGTGAAACGCTCCACCTTAAAATTTCCACGATGTGTCACAGACTGTATGAAAGTGACACGTGGACTTTTCTCTTAACAACAGAGAACAACACAGAGAAAATAACTGCAACTTTACTGACTGTGTGGTTTATTTTGAGTCGTTCCGCTCAGTTACAGCCCTCTTACATTTTTGGATTTCTCGATTATGCAAGATGGGAATCAATTATATGTCATGTCCACATTGTTTTTCTGTAATTGTGCAAGAGCATCTGTACCGTGCCAAAGCACACCTCTTCCAACCTCGCTGGGGCCAAGGAAGTGTACTCACTCACACTTTGTCAAATGAACTGGACTTTGGGTGTGGATTGCCTCGTAGGAGTGCGCCATAAGGGTCCTGGCACGGTTGGATGAAGTGTGCTATGGTATGATAGCTCATGCACGAGCACCAGGGCAGGCACCTGGAGCAATGGGAGGGCAGGCCAGCAGGGGGAATGGGGAGGAGGGACAATCGTGCTTCACAGGGTACGAGGCAACGGGGCAAAGTGTGAGTGCACCCTAAGATAGTTTCTAGCTTATTATTTACATTATCTAGCATGAAAACTTTTGGTTCCCCAGAAATTGATTCAACACCAAGCATTTTGTTGAAAAGACAATATTTCCCATGTAGCCAATTCAAATGTTGTCATCATTTTGTTTTTCAGGGTTGCCTGTGGTTTTGCCTGACCAGCAGGAGGCTGTGTTAATAGGAGCAGCAGTGCTGGGTGCGTGTGCGTCCAAGGACTACAGCACTATACAGGTGGAGTGACACACTGACACACGCAGCATGTGATCTAAGGTCATATGAGAGGCTTTTCACAGACTGCATCATGCAGTTAAGGTTTTTGTTTTTGATAGAATTCTACAAACGTTCACCTGTGAATGCCGCCTTCGTCGATTATGGGTCACTGCTTATGATTTAACGAAGTGAGAAGACCTGGGAAACATCAAAGAAAAAAACACACCGACCCTCCAACATATTTCATTAGTTGAAATTCTCTCCTTGTGAACTCTAATCAGTAACTCTCTTTGAAGAATGCTCCAGTGGAAATACACTGACACATCATAAATGGTCAGAGTGTGAAATTACATTTGCGATTTCATGCGAGTGGAAAAAATAGTATAAAACGGTTTCCTCGTGCTTTTAATTGTATGAGAGGAGAAAATGGTGTATGTTCTTTTGCACTTCTGAATGCACTGCTTTGTTCCTGCGGAAGTTAGACGATTTTGTTCCCAACAGAATGAAACAACTGAAAAAGGTTATCATACAAAGGATTATGCCGTACATACATGTCCCAAAGTATTGAATTAAGAAGTGCTTATTCAAACAAAAATGGTTTGATGTTTAACTAACCGTGTAAAATGTGGGATGTTTTATAAAATTACTGTCATAGGGCTTCCTCAGTAAAATCATTTTGACCTTCTTTAATGTTAGATGACGTCTGAAAAAGGTTCAGTCGAGATTGGAGCAGCAGGGACAGATAGACCCTGACTATAAGTCTGTAGCATGAGCCAAGCTTCAATCAAAGTGGTCATTATATTACAATGTGTTCATATTATATTCTTTTTAAATGAATATCATGTACAGACACTATGTTTACCAATCATCTTTCATGTAATTCTAATGAAAAGTATATCAAACTTCATGAGAAGTTAAATTGTAGGTATGCCCCATTTTGAAAAACATGTTTATTTTGCACTTTTCAAAAAAAAAAAAGAAAGAAGGAGATTATAATGAAATCTTTTTTCAAGTGTAAAATCAACTTGAAAGTTGCACAAAGCACAGACCTGCTGACTCAATGCCTCCATCTGCTGGGTGGAACCATTATACAAAGTATGAAGTGCATGGCTTCTCTTTTTTTGTTGTTGCCTCAGTCACTGAGCAGATTTGCCCACAATGTGTTTAAGATAAGAAGTGATGATTAACGTTTTCGTAGGTCAAGCTATCATCCTTTTGATGTCTCGGTCTCACAGCTCATAACACAAGGTTATGGTGAGCCTTTAAGCTCAGATATTCTAAAAATAAGACGTTATTGTTTGGACTAGGCTGCACCTGTCAATCCATTTTCAGCCGTGAGTACGACAGGCAGTTGTTGTGTCTGATCCTCTGAGCTGCACTCAGACCACCGGCTGGATTTAGTAGATTTAGACAGCAGAGCACCGCGTTAGGCATAAACCGAGGAACAACAAAACCGCTGCAGTTGACTTGTGTGAATACTACAAACTGGGTCAGGCCTCAAACTGAATGAGCGTCACATAATTTATTAAGTGATGTTTGTCTTTTATATTTCTGCTTCAGGAGGCGATGGGAAAAATGGCCAAAGTGGGGAAAGTTGTTCATCCTGACCGTGAACTCCAGAGGTGAGACAGAGAGATGATAATAATATATATGATGGTTAATTTATTCAGTCATAATGCGGTGTGTGTGTGATGTATAGGTACGTGTCTGTTAAATCAGTTATTTTATATAAGACAAACAAAAACCTAAAAAGTTAAAATGTATAATTCAAGTCATTGCTTGATGTCAAACCCAATCAAAACTGAAAATATAGTATTCAATCTGCATTGAATTTGATGATTTATACTGTTTTTCTTTGTTCCAGCTTCTATGACAGAAAGTACAAGGTGTTCCTGCGACTGTTCGCCCACCAGAGGGAGTATCAGACCCTCATGGACCAGAGATGACACTACTGGTGGGAGAAGGCCGAGCTGGGAGTGACTCCCTATGACGTAATGGTGATAACGAATCCACATGCTGGAGATAAAAAATCAGTTGTCTGTGCTGTACTGCTTTACCTGATGTTTTTCATTATATTTTTTAAATAATTTTTCAATAAACCGAAGAAAGAAAAGGCAGCTTTCTGCGGATGAATGTCTGTGCAGGGGTTTGGCAGATTTCTCACCACCTGGCTGTTATAACGGAAGAGACTTCCAAAGAGAAGAGCTGTTTAGACTTCCCATGGCTGTAGCTGCTCTTCTAACCCAAATAAAGAGGAGGATGTTGGAGGTGACCTGCTCCAAAGTGAAAGACCATCAAGTACCATCATCTTAAAATCTTTCCTAATAAATGATTGAAACGATACAATGTGCTCATGCCTTCCTCTGCCACACCACCCTTATAGGGTTTTGATTTATAATTCAGTGTGTTTTAACTCAACAATGACACTCATTCATTTTTAAACAAGTTCTCCTTTGTTCCTTTGTCAGTGTATTTCATCGTAATCTTCCACTTCCTGTTTGCATGGCCTCCTCTGTCCTTACACTCTCCTGTCCGCTGGTCTCAGAGAGGAGCCTGCTGCCAGGATCAAAGTACATAAGCTCACTGATGCTGCTGACCCGGTGAGGGGGAACGCTAAAGCCTACACAGCTGAATTAACAGCAGCCTTAAAAAACAACTGAGAGGGGGGGAAGGAAGGGGGTCGAGAAAACAGGAAGAGGAATGGCTCATTGCTTTAAAATTCTTAAGTTAAAAAAATACTGATGGGAACATCTGCCTAACTAATGTTTTTAATGTCCAGAGGAGGAATCCTTACATCAAAATCTCAAACTTTAGAGTATTTATGCATTTAATCAACACGGTTTTCAGTGAAATAAACCGGTGTGGCTTAGCTAACGTAAGGTTACCATCATAAAATCTGTTAATATTCACGAGCAACACACTTGACAAGCTTTAATAAATGTGTAACTACTAAGCTGCTTTCCTGTCCATAAAATGCAAAACATGGCATGCAGTGGTGTTGTTTGCACTCAGTAGGCAACACAAACCACTTCCTCTCACAGGGTTCCAACCATAAGAGAGAAATGCTTGGGTCACTATTACCAATCAAAAATATACAGTCAAAAAAAACCTCTTTATTAAAGAGCCAAAAAGACCAATGTAATAAGATTTTCTTTCTGGTACACTGTAAAAACCTACTTTAACCTGACCTCATTGGCTTACATTCCAGCTGTTCTATAGGACTCCTTTACCACTGGGATTCTTGATTTGTTTGTCCGCCTGATAGAGACAAACAATCATCCAGGTAAGTAAGGTTCAGTCTGTGAAACATAACTGTTTGTTTGATATAAGTTCTTATGGCTTGGGTGTGTAGCGGAGGTACTTCTTCCCAGAGGGCAGATCTTTGGTGTATACGCCCTCTGGGAACAGAGAGGCTGCCTCCTCCTCAGACATGCTGGGTGAGACCATCACACAGTCTCCAGGCTGAAGGGACACAGGCGAAGAAATGAAAAAAAAAAAGGTTACTCTTAACAGCTCAAATCCCTGATTCTGTGACAGATCTGTCAGCGCTTTGACACACCTTCCAGTCAGCAGGTGTAGCCACTCGTTTCCCCGCCGTGAGCTGGAGTGAGTCCACCACCCGCAGGATTTCATCAAAGTTGCGTCCTGTGGTGGCCGGGTAGAGAAGCGACAGTTTGAGCTTTTTGTCAGGGCCGATAATGAACACCTACACGCAGACACAAGACAGATGGAGCCAGATTAGGTTAATATACGGTCTCTGTCAGTATTCAAATTCTTCCTGCAAAGTAAGACATTGTGACTCTGTAGACTCTCACACAGCGGGCGGTGAGTGGCATGCCATCTTTGTCCTTCTCGTCAGGGTCCAACATGCCGAGGGCGACTGCCAGCTCCCGTTGACTGTCCGTGATGATGGGAAAGGGCAGAGAGCTGCACCCCGACTCCTCACAGTTGTAGGCCAGGATGTCCTAGTTATTACAGAGACATGAGCCATGCTTTCAACAGAACACTATTGCCATAGAAAACACATTTAGTGATTTACATGATTAAAAAAGAAATAAAGTGTTGCGCAGAACACAAAGCAGACGTGACGTAAGGACTGAGAGAAAATAAAGTGGAACCAAATTAACAAATTATAGTATTATATAAATAGCTCCTTTTATTGGTTGAGATATGCAGCATGTTAAAGGAACTTTTGAGTTTGTTATCGATTATGGAGCTCACTGTGGACAAATCAGTACCTCTTATCTCTTATCTGATTTTGTCCTGTACTTGCATAGCTCGGGTTTTCTGATGAAAAAAATCTCACCCTGCTTTCTTACAACAGGGGTGTTGATTATTCACTGTGGATATTTGCTGTGACTGGCCTTGTCTGGCACCTCAGCAGTTAAAGGCATTGAAAATAACTATATACTGTAGAAAAATATATCCTGCTGCTAATGGTCTTGTTGTTGCATGTAGATCAAAAAGAGGCCTCAGTATTAATTTCAGTCTGATTAAAAAGCAACTTTACATTCAAGTAACTGTATTACTGTAACTGTGACAGCAACTCAGTCACATTCAGACTGCTTACATCATTACATTTATCCATAAAGCTTTACCGAGTTGTCTCTTGTTTTCTCCTTCTATAGTTAAGTTATGCAGTGGAACCAAACAAAGCTGATCTTGTAATTCACAGCTCACAATCTATCAATGTAAGGTATGTACTTTTATAACCATTGGTTCAAATAAGCATATATAGAGGTGTAGATAGCACCTTCTCCATACAAAATATAATATAGTGATAAAAGTTCTGTTTCACTATTCAAACGAGGGTTTTATCGGCCTTGTATAAATGCAAAAAAAAAAAAAAACATCACAGAACAGTCTAAACATCTTATTGCTTGTAAAACTCTGCTTACTGGCTGTTTACTGAAAGAGGAAGCTCACCACCGATCAGTTAAACCAGCGAGGGTCAAAATGTCAATGTGGATTACTGTATTTCATGAACATCCTTTAAACATCTACATAATTTTGCATGACATGCCTGAGCTCTACTGTGAAGTGAAAACAGTTCTAATCATTTGACTGATGAGCTATGTGTGTGTTACTCCTGATGTGGTCTCAGATAGCCGACTCGAGCTGCAGGTGCCACACCTTGGTCCAGCCGTGATGATTCTCCAGGTCATCGATGGACAGGGCGATCAATTTCACGTTGCGTTTACTGAACTCACTGCTCAGTCTTGCAGCGCGGCCCAGCTCTGTGGTGCAGACGGGGGTGTAGTCTCTGGGGTGGGAGAACAGGATCCCCCACCTATATAATAAAAACAGAGATTATTGTGCCATGTCAGGATCAGGAGAGACAATCTAAGGTTTCAATCTGACTGCAATCTCTAAATTTAGAATCAGATTGAGAGAATTGTAATATCACAATCTCTATTGTGATTTTCCTTCTTTCTTGTGGAGTTGTTACACAGTAGACTGAGGCTGAATGATTCAGCTGACAGCAAACCGACAGGATGTGACCTCTTTCTTCACTCAAATGCTGAAATGAAAACACAAGGCACTTTTTTCTACAAGTCAGCCGTTTGATTGTGCACCATCAACATGGTGGGCTATTTTAAGTTTAACCTATGACCTTCACCACTCACTGATGCTTTTGATTTGAATCAATTCATGGTGTTCAAGAGATTTTACAAAGATGAATCTAATAAATGCCAGAGCACATTAATGAGTGCATCGTGTAAAAAAAACCATTTTAATTCACTTTGAGGCCAAAATTGAACCTATTTGAGTAAAGGGTGTTTGATACTAAATATATACAATTTAAGGGTTTCAGTTGGTTTATATTGCATAGACAAAGGTCAAGAGCAGAAGTTAAAAAAGCAGTAACAGGAACTAGACTCAAGCTGTCAATCTGTATTGGGGATCTTGATGCGCTTATGAATGACAAACAAAATTAAAAACCATATTATACTCACGAATCTCCGAGAAATTCATGGAATTTGATATGCCCAGTCGTAGCCTCAGCCTCAAAATCAGGAAATACATCCCCGAGCAGCAGTCCCGGCATGTTTAATGTGCGCGTGGAGTTGTTCCGCGTGTGCAGCAACAGAAGTGATGACAGAAAGCAAACGATAAAAAGTGGGCGGGACCTTCCCCCTCAACAGGCTACTCTATTTGCATAACTATGCCTGAAGATTATAAACAAAACTGTGACTCGTGATATGGTGCGTTCAGGTTACGTTTTGCTTAAATTGCGCAGTCTTAAAGGTTTCCAATTAACCAATTTACGCACGTGTCCGGTTTGCTGCCAAGAATTGACACTTTTTTAGAGTCAGCACTGTAAAACTTTCCAGATTGTAACATTTTATTGTTTTTTTTTAATCATGACTTCGACCTAAATATGTATAGGTTTGGAGAATTTCTTTGGGCATTTGCGATTCAGACGTTCATTTTCTATTTTGAAGTGAAATTAAGAACTCACTGCTGTTTAAGGTTTAAACATGTTAATGGAAATGATAATGTAGCCACGTGACCAAAGCAGTACAGTCCAGGTCTAAATTGGTGACATTTGAAGCCCTTGCACGAGGACTCCCCAGTTTGCAGGATGTTTTGCTTCTGAGTGCTGCGGATTAGAGTGTTTGCACGCCAGAGGTGGTCGAAAAAGAAAGTGGGTAAAGTTTACTCTGCACACCGTGAAAAACGAAAATGTCCTCGCCCACATTCAGACGGAATAGTTCCCGTGGATCTGTGTGTGGAAATCGGGCATCATTTGAGTGTAATGTCCGTCGCCGGAGCTCCAGCTGTTCTTACTTTTCCCCTGAAGACTTAAACGTTAGCCTTAATCAGCCGATATTCACAATAACACTTCGGTTTCTGCTGGCGATAGATCTGTGGCTGTCCAAGCAGCTCGGGGTGTGCGCATGTGAGGAGGCTTCGTGGGGCGGTATACGGCCCCTGGTGCGCCTGGTTGAGTTCTCCGGGCATGTCATCCCCTGGATCATCGGCACTGTATACACTCTGCTGCGGGGAGAGAGTGTGGAGGAGCAGGAGATCATGCTGAATTTAGCCCTCGGTGAGTTAATGTGTTTCCATGATTTGGATGAGCAACAGTGACTTCAGTAGAAAGGGCACTAGTTTGGATACCTGAAATTTAATTATGAATAATTAATCTTAATATTCACCCAATCGGTAAATTAAAACTACCGCCCTGACAATAATCAATTAAAAAAAAGACATTTTGATGTAAGAAGTTAAGCCATGACAATATTTCATGCTTTTCTTCTTCGCCCTGTATTCGCCACAGCGCAAGGAAAGTTGCAAAAATAAACTTTTCAGAATGTAACAGTCTTACATTGAATGCAAAGTACTCGTTATATGCTACAATATTGACTTACTTTTTGTACAGATTGCTGCTCTACGGCTTTTTCATAGATATCACCAAGTAACAGTAGCTGTGCACAAACCCGATGCGTAATTACGCACGGCTATGTCGACATTTAAGTGTGTGGCAATCAACAAGTGTTTTTCTTCTATCCAACAGTGTTAATAACTAATTAATAACCACAGTAATACAGGCCAAAGACGAACCTGTCCATCCAAGTGTGAAATTATAAATGTATAGAGCTGCACTGCTGCAGGGTGTTTGTTGGTCCACGTGAGCGAGAAACAACAACAACGCAGTCATGGAAAGTTTTCTACTTTGAGCAGCAGCTGACAGCAGCTGTGGTCAGAGAGACATGCACGCGAGACGGCTGATGTTTAATTAGCAAACTGGACACTACTGTACTGACTGATAGTTTTAAGATTAAGTCCTTCTATTATAGCCCACTGTGTAGTGCGCACTGTGCTGTGGTTAAATAGAAGAACTATTTTTGGCATACAATCGCCTATAGTACACCTCTTATAGCTAGAAGAATGAGAGTCTAAAGGAGTCAATGGTATCATTTCATTTCTATTCAGATATTTAATTCTGTGTTGCATTGTTACCTTTTAATTTCTAAAAATGTATTATCATGTTTGTCTCTTCACAAGAACAAATCTCAATCATGACTGTGCTTTTACGTATCATTTAAATAACCAATTAATTGAAGAGTCTTTACATTTTGGACTGTAGGTTGGATACATGAAATATGAAGATATCAACACTAACCAAAGGGGTCTGTAACACCTTCTAATATGATTGCATGATTAATGTTTATAGTTTGTGAAAAACAAATAACAGAGTTATGATTTGCAAATAAGATATAATCCCTTAATTATACATTTAGGGTTGCCAGGTTGTTCCAAAAAATACGTTTTAATTAATGACTATCATCATTTATATCTGCAGGTGATGGCTTATACAAAATCTGGAAAGTCTTGATTTTTTTCTCCAATCCATAACAACCATTTATTTCTCTCCATTATTTGCAAATAACGGGCTCTAGCCAAGGCTGTTCTTGTGCTTACAACGGAGCTCTATTCAATATAAACACAAGATACGTGTGCGCTGACAGCTGTACTTTTTGTGAAGGGTGTCTCTGAGCTATTACAGACAGTTCCAAACAAGTCATCTGATTGGACAAGAGAACTTACATTAGAGAATACACTATAAAGCATGACTAAGGGATTTTTGGTAACATTACTAAAGCCAGAAGATAGCTAAGAAACTGTTTCTGAATTATAGCCTCGAATGAATTACAATATAAGGCAATTGCTGTAAGGAGAATAGTTTGCATGTGAGCTGATTCCCTTATTTAAATTTTACATTGTCAGCCTGATATACAAACAGAAAACATTATTTTATGTTCTCTCTTTCCCCCTCACAGCTCTGCTGTTGGACCTGCTGTTGGTCAGAGTTGTGAAGACTGTGATTAGACGTCGCAGACCGGCCCAGAACCGCTCTGAAATACTCTCCACCTTCTTTGTGGAGCGATACTCCTTCCCCTCTGGCCATGCCACACGTGCAGCCCTGTGCGCCCGCTTCCTCCTCGCTCAGCTGGTGGATGAAGCCTCCATGCGGTTCCTAGTGGTGGGTTGGGCTGCTCTTGTTAGCCTGTCTCGACTGCTGCTTGCACGACAGTATGTGACAGATGTGGGCTTTGGCCTGGCTATGGGGTACTGCCAGTACAGTCTGGTGGAGAGGTTGTGGGTGACCTGGGACTGTGTGCAGGCCCTCCTGCTCATAGGACTAAGAGAGAGACTCAACAGGGCTTACTGTGGATGGTAGATTGGAAACACTTGATTTAATGAACATGTGTGTTTATGTGTGTTTAAGTCAAAGTGTTGGGAAATGAGTAGTGTGAGTGTGTAATAAAGAAATGTCATTCTGTTAGTTCTGTTTAACAGTGAACTTCATTAATTCTCAGATTATATTAGAGTTACTTCAATATGCTTTTATTTAGTTAAAATGTGTCAGTTTTTATGCATCTTTTTGTGTTCTTTTTACTGTTTTCTTGAAGAATATAGTGGATATAATGAAAAGTATGGCCATGATGAACAGGCATCTTGTTTGCACATGGCGTTGATGATATATAGAATTGTTCTTACAATGCTGTAGCCAAAGCGGAATGGTTTTAAAAAAATAAAAAGCCAATTTGCATTTAATTTAAAGAGTTGTATCCATAGACTGTAGATATTAATGGACAAAGCCTGAGTGATGTCACCCATCTATTACTGCATGGGGCCCTGGAGGTAATCGGTGGCAACCGCCATGCTGGAAATCTCAGCTTTCAGACAACCTAATGACACGCTGAGAGCTGGAGATGAGGCGTTTTTTAGGCCTCCTGACAAATAGTTACATTGCGCCCACCTGCCAATCAGGTCAGGCTTGCACCTAATTATTCATAACTCGTTTTATTTATAAAATCAAAATTCATGTGTTTTAAAAAAAATTCAACCCCCCTACAGTGTGTGCCCATGAGGACAATAACTAATCAGACCAGTATCGTGTTTCGTACCAGGCTGTTATATGTTAATTTCTGCTGTGAAAATTGCATTTTTGAATGTGATGTGTTTGTGACGTCCAGGGCGTAGAAAACTGCTTTTTTTGGCACTTAAGCAATAGTACAATAAGCATTGGCTTCATTTTTTTCAACACCAGTGGTTGCTGCTTGGTTGTATCTTACACAACACTACTTCCATTTTTTAGTAAGTTTCCAAGCTTGATGATGACAATGGCATTCTGTACCGGTCCCTGGTAAAGTGAGTGGCACCATGCTGTTGCTTTATGTGGTTATATGTGAATCAATTTTGTAAAGGTGTTAACACTGCTGGGGAAGTCAACCCACACTCAAGTTTCCATCAGCTGCTCAGTTGCCAGACTGTCATTACAGCCAGCCTCTTCATTCAGTGCTGGAAATCAGATACCACCTCTGCAATTTCCAAACAAACCAATGAATGTACAGAAAGTTGTGTTTTTTGGGGCCTTGCTTTTGAACTGAGAAACCAGAGTAGAAAACTTATTTTGCAGTGGCCTGTAATTAAAGTAAAACGTCACAAAAGGTATTCAATATGCAGATACAAACAGCTGTCCACAGAGGGCAGTGCATCACAAGGGTGTAGCAGGTTCAGGATTTATGGGTCACGATACAGACTACTGGGCCTGGGACAACCACCAGGTACTTCTCATAGTCAAATCAAACTTAGAAGCTGGTTATTTCAGTTAAAGGCGAGTTTTCAACAACAAAAATGAGCAGCTAGGTCTATAATATTGTAATCTGTAGGTATCAGTTATCAGCATTAGATTGCATAGCACAGGCTATCAAACCACCAAGAAAATAACACAATACAATTTCTATCCATAGAATTATAAAAAAAAATTAAGAACCCATAATTTTTAATTGAAAAGTTAAGTTAATGTATCTAGGGTTATCTATCTGTGTCAATGCTAGCTTAGGCTGCAATGTGAAGGACGGTACACCCACCATTCAGATGCTGTTGCTATGGTAATTAATTGGCACACCATGATGTTCTTCAGGGTAACAACCTCACCGAGCACAGGTGCGTAGTTGTGCGTAGTTTACACATAAGAAAAGTGTTACACTGTTTATGAACATTTGTAAATATTTAATGTTTCTTGTTAGGTCTCGGCGCCTGGTTAAATATGTCCCTGAATTTACAGATGTCGAGGAGCCATAATGGAGAAGGCGCTTTGTTAACTGCACCCGGCTTTGAATGACCACACAAATATGACGATGGGTAGGCTACCCTTGCTGGCCAGCTAGCCTACTGTTCAGTTCACATTGTTATTATTAAGCCTCCATTAGGCTACATGATACTAGTACAAGTTGTATTTGATCCCCTCTTACAGCCAATATTAAGTCAAATGATTAATCTAATTTATCTGTGTTATAAATCAGACAATAAATAAATGAGACAGGCAAACATTTTATATTTAAATGACATACAAACATACAAATAAAGACACAAGAGCCAGCATAAATGTGCTGATCATCATTAATAACTGGTTTTGGTAACTCAATTGCAAAATAAACGTTTGAAAGAAAAACAAGTTTATCATTTTACATAAATTACTTTCTTTTAGATCTTTTATAAACAAATAGCAAAAATATTTCCAATTTAAATCCCGACTACGACTATGAAACTGTTATATGACTTTATTTCAGTTGCTAGATATTTTTATTTATGATAGTAATAGAAAAATAGAATTTAAAGATAATCTCAGTGTAATGCAAATGATTATACGTCTTATTCACAGTCCTTTTTAACAGCATTATCTCTCTGTCGTAGTCCCCTTTAGCTTCTGCCCTGATTGGCCCGTCCAAGTCTGATGTCATAGGTAACCATGTGGAAGTTGTCCCAGGCGTGCAGCTTCCTCTGGGCGTGGTTATAGTCTACCATGCTGTTGTACCGGTACTTGTTCTTGAAGGGGACGGCTACAGCTCGCCCCTCTCCTGTAGCTGTGTCAAACACATAGTTGATGGTGGTGTTGGGTGCTGTGTAGCTGGCCACTGTGTACAGACGACCACATACCATGAAAGCGTTTGCCACTGTGTTCTTCCTGATGTTAGTCTCCCAGCTTCTCTTTACCTCAAGGCTCTCGGGGTCCAGCTGGGAAATCACAATTGCACCCTTTGCCTTGTTGTTACTGTAGATCGCCCACAAGCCTTGCTCATCCACTGCCAGGTCGATGTCTGTGTAGCCGCCCCAGGAATACGGGTACTGACCATGGAAGCCGGCATGAGGCAGGTCTGAGCGTGACGCCAGTTTCTCGGAGGCCAGATCGTAACGGATCAGAGTACGGCTGCGCCTGCGCTGGTAGTAGAGGGAGCCGCGGTACATGGTTGCCCCTGTACTCTCCACAGGCTCAGGCAGGACCAGGACCTTCATTGGAAAACCTTGGGAGAACTGATCCATGTCCTCATATGCAAAGAGCTGACGGACGTCTTTGCCCACTGCGTTGATACGCCAAGCTGTCTTGTTGGTGTAGAGATCACCCAGTGGCTCGGGATCCTGCAGCCACACTCCGTACTTCCCTGTGATGCTATCAGCCTTCTTGTGCATCACAGGGTCTCCCACTGACTGCAGCTCGCCACAACCTGCAATAAAAAGGGAAGTCAAATATATGGTATTTGTTACATATTTGGAGGGCAGTTATATACACACATCAAGAAGTTGTTTTATCAATGATAAAAGGCCAGCCCACACATTCATGCCAAATTCATCACAATTTTACAATACCACCCAGTCCTCTCCATGTATAAAATGGTCATGTTCACCGAACGAAAACCCAAACACAGGGTTTTACAGTCGTAAACAGTTTACAAAGATAAGAAGCCGTTTGAAATGATACAGCTCTTGTGCTTTATCTAAAGGAAATATAAATCTTTAAGGAGATTGTGCTACAATGTGGGAGCACTGAATGGTTTTCATAATTTTGTTATTTAACTATTATCACATATTTGCAATGATTTCTAAGGCATTAACTATGATGATTTGAGCAGCCACAAAATCATCTGTAAATCAAGTTACCTGTGAAGTTGCCCTCAGGAAAGAGATGGGATGCTGGAACTTCTGCTACCTCAGCCTTCATCTCTTGGTAGGCACCATTCCCAATATCATACGCAGGGTCTGAGAGACACAGAGTGAAGGAGAACTGCATTAAAGAATGTAAAATGTTATCAAATACTTCAGACTGTGAAGGACCTTTGATTAGAACACGTCTAAATAATCACAATTTGACATAGACCTGAAAGAAAGCCACTGTCCATATGCAAAAAAAGTCAACGTTTTCTAATTTATTGACCTCTATAACCTTGCTTTTGCTCTCCTAAAAATGATTACACTTCAATAAACCGACATGCACGAGTGACAAAGTCTGTGTTGCAAATTCCAAACCCCTCACTCAGCCTTGGACAGCTAAACTGCAGCCTGACCTCTTGCCCCCTAAGTTCTTTCATATCCAATGTCAACAACGTAAACATTGAAAAACCTTAAAAAGCATCAATAATGAGGAGCCATAACTTGCAAATATCCAGAAAATAATTTGTTGTTTACCTGTCATCATCCCTAAAGGAAAACTTATTGCATGCCCAAAATAAATTGCCTCTCTTTTAGGTCCAGAGGTCTGTCAACTAAACTTTGATTTGTGCATGTTTTCCCTTTACACATGATGCTGTACATACCACTTGCAGGTCTGTGTGTCTGCTGGCAGGGTTTGTGCCTCAGACTCTCAGCTTCTGCACTCAGCTCCTCAAGTCTCCTCTGCAGCCCCTGGATCTGCCTATTCAACTGTTCCTTGTCCTGTTGCAGCTGGTTTCTTTCCCCTGTAACCTGTGTGAAAGCTTCCTGAAGACCCTCTTCAGTTGCTCCGACCGCTGTTCCTGCACCTCCGTCCTCTCCTGCTATCAGGCGGCTGACCAGAGCCTCCAGCAGGGTTAGTCGGGACAAAACTCCGTCCACTTCTGGTTTCATGTTGTTTCCGGAGCAGCTGGACTCTTCTGGGCTGGCCACGGTGAAGGTGTATTGGCAGTGCCCGGCTCGATCATTGGAGCGATGGAGGGAGGCTCGGTCTTGGGTCTGGCTTAAGGTGGACAGGGTAAAGCAGGAAATACACAAGAGAAACACCTGGACCCACATATTGGAGGGTCAAAGTAAGTTTTGATCTTCTACTTTGGGAAAGTTTCTCTGTTGCAACTTTGTATCCTCCTCACTTCAGTAGAAACAATCTCCGCTTGATTATAGATGTTTTCTTTCTGCTGTTGGCTTGTTTCTCTGAGTTTCTTTAGGCAGGGCTAGCCAGTGTCTGAATCACAGCAATGCTGAGAGTGGGATATTTATACAGTTAACTGTCAGAGAGAGGAGGGGACTGGAAGTGTGTTGGGTGGGGGGGGAACATAGCCAGGGGTGTGTGGAGTGTTTGTCCATGTGTGTCTTCTATTTGGTGTTATTGGGGGTAGTTGTGCTGAAAGGGACAAACAAGTGAAAATCACATAGTATCAGTGGAAAATTACACTTGTTTTTTCCTGTACAGAATTCTTTCATTGTGCCTCAGCAGTTGGTATGTCTTTGCAGGTTGTTTTGACTGGACACTTTATGTGTCTGCTGGCTGTCCCTTGCTGCGCTGTTTACTTCCTCCGTAACTGATAGTTGTACCATTAAATCACCATATGATTAACATTAAACTCAGTTTATGGCCCGGGCACTGAGTGATATCAAGGCTCAACAGTTGAGGCTCTGAACCCACAGCAGGGCAGGATGTCTGGCACAGGAGGATAGGCTGGAAATCTGGCTAGGAATGGAGACATGGTGTGGTTGTCTTCTGTCCTTCCTACCAAACCCACATTAAAACCACATGTAGCCGTCCAAGCATGGAGACATTTACTGTTTTTTTTTTAGGATTTACAATTGTATTGCCTTTTTCATGTGTTCATTTTTTACATTCAAACATACAGACAACTTGTAACATTGCACAGTTGTGAGATTGCATCACTGCATAAATAGAAATAATAATTACAAAATGCTACTCACATGACAAATAAACTGGTCAAATAAAAATATATCACAGTCACTGGATTACATCAGTGGGGCAAAAAATATATAAACACAAATTATGTGTTATAATGTTATAATGTTTACTTTCATTGACAAGCTTTGGTTTTCACTGCAATAATGCAATGCTTAGCAGGGCAACGAGAGTGAATGCTGTCAGATGGGGCTCCTTAGGGAGGTTTCCTACTGTTGTTGCAAAATTTTCACATTTTGGGCCACTGCTTTGGTCTAAGTTTGTGAGCCCTCAGGGAACCCCTACTTGTCTGGGGTCCCAAACAGTTGCCTGCTTTTCCTGTTGACAATCAAAAAATGACTTAACTTTACAGTGGTGTAACAGAAAAAGTCCAGTGTGCACAAAGCCATTGGAATTCATTCTCTCTGCAACAAAGATAAAGTACATGTTCCAAATTTGATGACAATTAATCCAGACGTTATCAAGTCATCACATTTAAAAAAAACAATGTTAACCTTAGGGTGGCACTACAGGAAAGTCAGGGGATCACTACAATCTGTAGGCTCCAGGAATAGTTGTACAACAATTTATAGTAAGTAGTTCAGTCATTCATTCTGTAGAAATATTTGTTTGGATCAAAGATTGGAGGACTGATTTACTGACCAAGAGACTCATAGATCGTCAATGCCAACCCCATACAGTCATTCATTCTACTAGCACAACTTAAAACATGGCTTTAAAGATAAGTGAAGCATTTATATATTATTTTACAGGGCACATTACTGAAAACATACCCTTTCTTTAAATCACAGTCATGCTGTTTGTCTCTCTTTTCTCACTCTATAGGAGACTTGTAGTCCACCTGTGTTCCAACTGTGCATGTGTTACGTCTGGGACTTTGTCTGGTTCAGACCTGGAGAGAGGAAAAGAACATCTATAACCAACACAAGTGTACCCATTGTAAGTTTGCAAAAACATGTTTTGGTCTCTAAGGTTGTAAGCCTATTTCTCACATCTGTAAACTGGTAAAACTTCCTCTACGTTTGTCTCACCTACCTCTTTCATTTGTGTTTTTTCTTAACCAACACGATGTTTTCAATTACAAAATATTCCATCTTAAGTACCAACAGCATTGAGCCTGTTTACCCTGAAAGGTAGCTCACAGTGCACATCTGTGTTTGGTCCCACAGGCTCAATCCGTTGCCTAGTTAACCCGTCCGTTTTACTACCTATGGAAAGTCACCGGTATTCCACTATGTTTTTACCACTGAGGTGTGTTTCCTTACGTAACAGAACGACTCAGACAACCTGTAAAAAGCAAGCAGAGGATCATAGCGGGCACACAGCGTTTTACAAAGGCATTCCTCCTAAATGCTGAAGCAGCTCTCCTAGGAGCAGGAACTCAGTGTTTGTGTGGTGGATATGACGATGGTTTGCACAATGTGTTATAGTCCTTTGGTCACTCATGGGATCACTCAGAGATACTGGGCCACCATGTGCTATTGCAACTTTCAGATACACACTTTGTGGAGCACAAAGGTTTTGTTTTCCAAGTCTAACGTTAGCCCTAACATTTAAATATCCAGTATTTCCCCTTATATTTTCACTCCAGTAGATTTAATCTTAGACTTTTGAACAGTGTCATGAAAACTGGAAGCTAGCCTAGTCTTTAAATGCTCACACTAAGCTAGCAGCAATCTTAGAAGCCATTACTGATCGTCCGAAGTTGTAAAGTCTCTGGGAGTAACCAACAACCTTTCAGGGTTTCTGCGCTTTAAAGCAAAAAGGGAGTTGGTGTTGAGGTACGACATATTGAAAGAGATTGTTAGCTGCCTTTATATGCAGGTGTCTGTTTATAGAGATTAACTTACTGTAAGTATAATTGTATTCAGATTGCTGCCTAAGGTGTATACTTACGCCATTCTGCCCCTTTTGCGCTTCATGTAGAAAGTTTTACTTTATAAATCTTGTGCCGATTGAAATGTTGGTTGACGACAATATTTGCACGACAATAAATAAGGCAAGCTGTGAGTCCATTATACTTCAAAATCCCAGTCTTAAACATTGGCTAATATTCTGTATACAGGTCTAAAAGAATAATGCTGTTTCAGCTGTTGTGATTATAAATGATTAAATACAGATGATTGATTTTATCAGATGGAGAAAGGATGACAAATATTAGAGGCCTGTGGATATTTTGGCAGTTTTCTCAAAGTACAAACCCAGAATCCTTGGCAGTATTTGTGTTCCCCTAGTTTAACTCAGAAGGGACATTCTACTGCTGAATAAGTTTAAATATGAATTTAATAACATTATGCAATAGGAAACAGAAGGAGGACTGTTTGTTACATTGGCAGAGCAGAAGAAAAACTAAACAGATGAGAGAAATAGTGTGAATGCCGAAAGGGAAAAAATTAAACGCATGCTGTCAGAATTGTTTACTTGCAGCCACTGCACTCTGATTGGTGATTTACAGGATGTTATAGAGCAGGAAGGGGGGCTTTGAGTCACTGAGACACTGTCAACATAATTTTCCAGTGGCCCTCACAATCATTGGCCCCGCCAAAAATGCATTTACAGGTGTGAAGTGTTGCATAACGTGTGTTTACTTGGGTGACAGTCTGCCTTGTTGATGCAGACGAGAATTCCTTCACAAGGTTTCACACCCTCAAACACAACTCCTACCTAAATGTATTGGTGACATTTCAACTGAACTGTGTGTTTAGGCTAGTAGGTCCTCCAGCTCAAATGAGTCATGGTGTTTGACGCACAAGGAGAAATTGATGGTGCTGAATGTTAATCAGTGTTTAATTCTGTTGTATTCAATTGGTACATTGGAGTACAGTGTGAGATGTTCCAGAGAAATGCATTAAATTGGCCTTCTGTCTGCTGTAGCTGTGAGGATATAATCACAGTAAATCACACGCCTACACACTTGAAACTTTGGCCTCACAGTAGCACAAAATGTGTTGTTTGGTGTCTGACAGCTCAACGTAGGTGTTACACCAGAGGTTCTTATTACTGATACAGACATGGCAGCAGAGTGGCATTTTTAATACACAGTCATTGTCTTATATCTAGTCCATTTAACATATGCGCTGCACTCCTGAAAATGTCCTGACATTGTCCAAGTTGAGTGTATGCGTGACAACAAAGAGCTAAATCTTTTTAACTCGACTTCATGCATTTTTGTTTCCTGCCAGCCCCCTGGTAAGATGTTCCCATGCAGTCTTGGTGAGCGGATGTGTGAATGCAGCCTGTAATGTTCTGAAACATTCACTGAGACCAAGTGGGCGAGTTGATTCTGTTTCACTGCATTATACTCTATACTGTTACCTGTATAATGGTTTATACTGTTGTGTTTGTATGGAAACACATTTTACCGGTTGTTGTGATATCAACACAGACACATTAACCATTGCAGAGGATTCCTTACCATACTGCAGGTGATACCAAGGCACACACTCTGATTGAAACACAGAGTATTTAGAGTTGAGAGAGTGCATGAGAATCTGACAATTTCTTGCTGTGAGTGAAAGGTAATACAAGGAAAATACAAGGACCTGAATGTCCTTGGATTGTCTAGAAAACACCTGGAGTTTATTTGTCATAATACACCTGCAGCTTCTTTGGCATTTGGTGTTCACTGTAGGTCATTCCTGGGTGAATTAGTCTTTTACCCCACAGGAAGTAGTGTGTTGTGTTAGCAACAGATAGCTACACAAGAGCTAGCATTGTCAATTGTTTGCTAATTAGTCTTACATGCTAGTATAAAAAGTTATAAAGGGGCTGAATGCTAACACTAGCAATTACCCAACGGTAGCCTATGACAAATGTTTTTGTTTTTTTTCCTCTCAAGTATGGCCCATTGTGCCTCCAGATTTTCTCTAATCATAGTCTTTTCGATTGCGTGACAATCCAGAAGTGGTGAAATGATCATCAAATTGCCCTCATTTATGAAATTTGCAGCCTGTAACAGAATAAATCAACATGCAAACAGCATCAAAGATCCCCACCCTGACCCTATCATTAGAGGTAAAAAGGCCGCTGTGTGAATGTGGTGACTTATTTGAAAAATTGTTTCTTTTAGTTTCTTGCCTAGAGGTAGACGGAAAGATTTATACAAACTTTCATATTCACTTTCATATGTTTTGAAGCTGGACTGAAGAAAATTTTTTAAATGATACGTGTAAGAGTAACATATTAATCCTTTAACACCTTTAGGTGAGTATGTATTGAACAAACATGGTAAAACACAATCCACAGTATTTTACTGGTTAGAC